CTAGCATGTTTCTAATATACTTAAAACATGGAGAATTTTGTAGCATGTAAGTATTAATAAATCACTTTTTAACGTTTACAGTAAACCTTTTCTAGCAATTGTAACATCTGTTAACTGTGCTAGCATGCGTTTAGCAATGTTGCTAGGATGAACGTATTTTACATTTGGCTAGCCTGGTTATCATTTTGTTAGCTTTAATTAGCATGTTGATAATGTCAGTGTCAGAAGGATGTTTATTGTGTTGCTAGCATGTTTTACAATTGTTGTAAGCATGATTTATAATGTAAGATGTCCTTGTCTAGCTGCATAGTTTTGCTACTCATAAATAGATCACATATGAATAAATATTTTTAACACATGTATGGCTAACACTTTAATGTTGGTAACATTATTTAGCATGTTTTAATACTAGCATGTTTTTAATACACCTAAAACATGGAGAATTTTGTAGCATGTAAGTATTAATAAATCACTTTTTAACATTTACAGTAAACCTTTTCTAGCAATTGTAACATCTGTTAACTGTGCTAGCATGCGTTTAGCAATGTTGCTAGGACGAATGTATTTTACATTTGGTTAGCAACTGGTTAGCATGGTTATCATTTTGTTAGCTTTAATTAGCATGTTGATAATGTCAGTGTCAGATGGATGTTTATTGTGTTGCTAGCATGTTTCAAATTGTTGTTAGCATGATTTATAATGGAAGATGTCCTAGTCTAGCTGCTCCTACAGTTTTGTTACTCATAAATAGAGATTTATTTGTATGATTGACAAGAGTCCTAACAATGTTTAACAAGAAATTTGATCTCATAAGAAGAAAATATAATCAAGATAGATATGAAGAAGAGCAACATAACTTTGCACATGTCAAAATAAGGTGGATACATTCGCTGTTTTTGTTTTGCATCTGGAGGAGTTTGACTGTTAAACTCATGACCTTACCTTCTCTCCTCTATCACCTTTGATAGAGACAGCCTGACCCTGCAAATAATCAATCAACACCGATCAATTATTCTCCAGGCCCATAGAGGAAGAAACAGAAGATGAAAATCGAGAGCATATGAAAATAAATCGGTTTACTGTTAACAATCTATCCACAATACTGTAGAAACAGCTGATTATTCTAATAAATATCCATGCTGTTTTAGGTTCATTTAAACAGTCAAGAAACTGTTTTAAGTAATAATATTGGTGGCATACACGTTCTCCTTTCAGCCCTTTGAGTCCTGGTGGTCCTTCTGCCCCTTTAAGACCAGGATCCCCCTGCAGATGTACAGTTTATGCAGTAACCCGGTGAGGAAACAAATCAGAAACACAATCCGGAGATATGAAGATGCATATTGAGGATGTTGTGATTGTAAAATGCTAATTGACCTTTTCACCCTTGGGCCCCGGGGCACCCGGTAGACCTGTATCACCCTGTAGGATGAAAAAGATTGAGAGAGATAGCAAATGACAGAGATTTTGAAAGAAAAACGAGAGCGTAAAGAACGAATGCATTACAAAAGCAAGTGAATGCATTACAAATGAATTCAGCATAAAAAAATTGATATCTAGCCTTATATGCTGCACTGAATTTTACATGTTGAATACAATTAATTTCTGTCAAACATTGTCAAGCTGTTGTACAATAACAAATAATGTCAAGCTATATTTTGAATATCTATGACATGCTTATTTAATTCATATTTAATAAATGCTTAGGCAAATACTTTGTACAGGTTATAGATATAATTTATGTACTACTGTTTTTTTATTATTTAGTTAATTATTATTATTATTATTTTAAAATTATTTAAATATATCACAAACTAAAACTATAATATAACATTAACATAATAACATCCAATAATTGCAATTATTCAAAATCTCATGTCAAAATAATAAATTTTAGGGCTAATATACAGACCTATGTTCTGAATTTATTTATTTTTTAATATCTATGACATGCTTATTTAATTTATATTTAACAAATGCTTAGAATTATGTACAAGCTGATATAATTTATTTACTATTGTGTTTTTTATTATTTAGTTATTTATTAATAGAATTATTTTTAAATGAATTTAATACATCACAAACTACAACTATGATAACATAATAACAATAATTCAATAATTGCAATTTTCTTCACAGTCTCATATCAAAATAATTCATTTTAGAGATAATATACAGACCTATGCTTTGAATATCGATTACATGCTTATTTCATTCACATTTAATAAGTGCTTAGAAATAAATGAATTATTATTGTGTTTTTTCTCTTTTATTTATTTTTTCATTATTAAAATGATTTTAAAATTATTAAATATATTTTATTACAAACTAAAACTATAATAATAAAATTACCATTAAAACATCCAATAATTGTATTTTTCCCTTCAGATTAGTCTCATGTCAAAATAATTAGGCAACAATTTAGGGCTTTATTATTGGAAAAAGTGTATTTATTTAATTTATTATTATTATTATTATTGTTATTTTACAATATTATTGATTTAATAACATTTATTCTGGTTCACTGTCTAAACTACCTTGTATTTTTTAACCCAGGCTCATTCTGAAAACGTACCACTATATACATTTCTGAAGAGCACCAAATATGTCCCAGGAGCTATGTTTTTTGCACTTTTTGTTACGCTTTTTGAGATCTCAAATTTCTCTTGCGAATGCCATTCAAGCCTGCTCTTCTTGCGTAAATCCACCAGAGGCCGCTGTCGACTGACCCACGCTCTTCCTTCCCTAAACCCAACCAAAAGTGCTTTCAAAAGCAACGATTGACCAGCGCCCACCCACTTCCCGAAACCCAACCAACAGTTTTAAAAAGCAATCCAGAAAAAGAAAAGCCTTCCCCTGATTTTTACCACGTTTTCAGATTTCACCACTTTCTCACCCTGTTATTTACTTGGTTATTTTATTTTTTGGCTGCTTTCTGGAATTGTTCTGTATCAGACTCTAAACCCGTCATCGTGGTTAAATTCTCTCTGCGCCAACATATGCGGCGAGCCTCTGAACAAACTGGTAACAGTGTGAAAGCCGTCCATACTGAAGTGGTCAGCTGGTAAGCACAAAAAGGAACAGCGTCATACCACCCTGTAGCGTTCGTTTTAAACAGGAAATGCAGCCATACGTACCTCTGGCTACATAATTCACGATCTAGGGCTATATTTTCAGAATGAGCCAATGTTGCTATTTTTAATGCATTTGTAAAAACTGTGACATTAGATGGTGTTGTTTGTGATAAATATGTTATACCGTATAGCCTAAACTGCACCTATAATGTCTACTTAGCCATTATTTAAGTACCATCAATAGCCTCAATTACTATACTACATCATAATAAGGCAGGTATACAATTTTCTGCGTGTTAGAAAAGTGTTTCATCAGCTCGTCCCCTTTGATGCTCTTACCCGTTCCCCAGCAGGACAGGAGCAGTTGGCAGCGGCTGGTTTCTTCTGCTCGGCGCTTGTAGGTTTCGGGGTGGGCAGTGGGACTGGAGGGGCTTCAGTCACCAGAGTTTGTTCACACTGAACCAGAACAGAAAGTGAACAAGGAAACAGAAAGGGACATCAACTGTGTCTGAAACCACTCCCTATTCACTATATAGTGCACTATATCAGCTGTCTGAGTGAACGATTTAATGAAACTGTTCAGTAAAGTTATTTATTTATTTATTTTATGCACTCAATATTATTCTTGCAGCTTGAGAATATTAAACTGAACAAACGAAAGCCTATGGTCGGTTTGAGGATGTTTTTGGTATTTTTTCTTAACTTTGAAGGAGTCAAGAGCCTTGTTGTGTATGAATTGAACCTTGTGTATGAATGCACCGAGTTGCTGCCATGTGATTGGCTGATTAAAAATTTGTGTTAACGTACAGTTGGACAGGTGTACCTAATAAAGTGGCTGTTGAATGTATATATATTAAAAAAAAATATTACTTTAATGATATTTTATTTAATGTTTACATACTACATTTATTTTTTTAACTCAAATGTAGTGAGAAAAAAATGACATTTCAAAATATTAATAAAAGCTAAGCACGACAGGCAGGAGTTTTTTTTCTCTCTCTCTTTGTCATCAAATAGTACGATAAATGTGACAAATGAACATTGACAGTTTATTTATAAAGCCAAAAAGAGCAATTTACCGGATGGAAAATGCAACATTCATGACTAAACTGTCCATTACGGGCTGCTCTCCGGCTTACAAAACGGTAGTCGGCAGCTAGCTCTCTGCAACTCTCTCATGGTCGCCCACTGAAGCTAACCAGGGCTGTGCCCCGTCAGTACCTAGATCAGGGGGGGCCAACCCTGTTCCCGGAAAGCCACCTTCCTGCAGATT